TCCGATGTGTAGCGAGTAGCGAGTAGCGAACTACTCTTCACAAACGGACGGTTCGTTACCCGTCCGCTCATTTGCGGGTAGTGCCAGCGGGTAGTTCGTTACTCGCGGACGCTAATTTTGCGAGCCCGATCCAACCCTAGTTTGACAGGAAAGAAGGAGCAAATCATCCGCTTTGACAAATCAGATTCTGTAAACTCCTTCAGGAAAAAAACAACAAACATAAAACAACCCCCAACAAATCCCATTTCCATTCTCAAATACATCTACCCTGAGCTGGAGACAAACAAACCAACAAACAAACAGACAGACAAACCAACAGACAGACCCACCTATCGGACAAGCCCTCGTTCTTGATGTAGTTGGACAGTTTCTCCTTCATCTCGGCCGACTTTGTCTTCACCACCCCCGACAGCTTACCCAGCAGGTCTTTGGAGAACTGGGGACGGACAGACGGACACACAGATAGACGGACGGACAACTGAAGAGACAGTTTTGTTTGGGTAAAGAAAAAAATGGTTGTACGGTGCTTGCAACTGCATAAGACCACATTTGTTTTAGTAATTTTGTGTTTTAGTAGAAGTTTTACGGCGCTCGCAACTGCATAAGGTCATATGAGCACCAAGGGTGGATGTCAACAGAGAAGTCCTTACAGGGAATCAGACTTACTCTGCTCACCTCTCTAGCTTCAACAGTACAAAGTCTGCTTCGACTATCAAGGCACCCCGGAAATAGCGGGTCATAGGAGAGTGACAAACATACAAAAGAAGTAGAGGAAAATGACGATAGTAAGGATCAGGAAAGAAAAGCAGCAGTTCCCTGTTGTAGATCAGGCACAGTTATGAGCATGACATTGATGAATCAGCCCATTTACAATTCTACTGTGCATAAGAACTCGAAAGGTTAATGTCAGTAGCACCGCCCAGGGGGTAGTCTGAGGACAAACAGACAGACAGACAGACGGACAACTGTAGAGACATTTTTGTTTGGGGAAAAAAAAAAATATGAGGCAGCGTGGTGAAATCAAGCGCTCGTCAAAATAATGAAATCCAAGAAATCGACATTTTTCGGCCAGTCAGGAAATTTTTGTTTTCCAATTTGTATTTTTTGGTTCAACACCTTGAATGTCCGTCAAAAACATTCTGAGTGGTCGATCTTATGGACAAATGTTGATTAATGGCACGAAAAATGTAAATTTGCCGTTTCAAGGACTCTTGAGCTATGGAAGTCAACAAACTTTGGCAGCCATTTTCTCGCTAATTTTACTTCTGAAACCAAGCGACCCCCTCCTCCTTCAATCGCAAATAGCTTGACTTCTATTCAAGATAAATGGATACTTTTTTCATCAAAAGCGCGACAAATGAACAACGTTTAAGATGATACCAACAACTCCATATGCCCATCAATAGACGAGTGCCTGATTCCAGCACGTCGTGTCACCACGTATGGTTGTACGGTGCTGGCAACGGCATAAGACCGTATGAGTGGTGGGCAAGACACACGTTGATTGTTTTGACATATATTCAGGATACATATGAACAGTTGGGG